ATAGAGATGAAGAGATGATGAAGAGAGCTTGGCTGGTGTGGCTCAATGGTTGAGCATTGATTTATAAACCAGAAGGTCACAGTTCAATTCCTGGTCAGGGTGTATGTCCGGGTTGTGGCCTCGATCCCCAGTGTGGGGTGTGCAGGAGGCAGCCGATCAATGATTCTCTCTCATCATTGATGTTTCTATCTCTTTCTCCCTCTCCCCTCCTCTCTAAAATCAAAAAAAATATTTAAAAAATAATAATAAGGCAATGGGATTGTATTTACTTGTAGATGATGAAATCATATTCTTTAAAGATGGTCTATTGTTTTTGCATTCCACTATTCAAATTTCCTGCTCCTCTGTTATTCTCCTTTGTAATTTCTATCATTATATTTTTGTTTTTATTATATTTAAAGAGAAAGGGGTTTTAATCCAAAGTCCCTACTTGCCTTAAGACAGGACTCAAATAGCATTAATCTCTGTGTAGGCATTGTGTGTGTTTTTTATAAAATATATTTTTATTGATTTCAGAGAGGAAGGTAGAGGGAGCGAGAGATAGAAACATCAGTAATGAGAGAGAATCATTAATCAGCTGCCTCTTGCATGCCCCCTACTGGGGATCAAGCCTGCAACCTGGGTATGTGCCCTTGACTGGAATCGAACCCCAGACCTTTTAGTCCACAGGCTGACGCCCTATCCACTGAGCCAAACCAGCTAGGATTATGCATTGTGTTTTCCATTGGCCATTATTACATAGGTAGTTTTTCTAAAAAAATGTGCAATGCATAGCAAATAATAAAAATAAATAAATACATATTATATATCGGAAACTGGGCTTTGTGTTTAATACATGTATACATACATCATATATATGACAAATATACGATGTCTATTATATGTATATGATAAATAAAAAGACCCCTCTTTTCAACCCTTTAGAAGAACTGGGCTGTGGGCAGTGTGTAAACTTGAGTGTTTTTTGTGCAGCCTCTCCTCTGGTTGCAGCTGGTGAATTATAGAGCCAGGATCCGTGACCACAGTGCGGGGGTGGGATGGGTGTGGACAGGAGCCAGTCACAGGCCTGAGCTCCGTGACACAGGCAGACAGACAGCACAGAGGGTGGATGGGGCCTTTCCTCCTCTGTGCCCCTCCCCCCCTTGCCTTCCAGCCATTTGGAGCTCTCTGCACCCTGACGTTTTGACCATCCTGGAGGAAAGGGACCTCACCTTTAGGTGTCAGGTGGTTAATGGGCTATCTTTTGTGACATTTGCTGTCACTCTATAAGATTGGGTTAGCAAGGCCAGCCTATCTGGTGAAGCTAATGATCTCCTCTTAGGCCCTGTGCCTGCAATTTGAGAAGCTGCCACCAGACGAGTGATGGTGCCTGGCCACTTGCATTGCACAGTCAGGGGAAGAAAGCCAGAATCCCGACAGCCAGGCCTCCTTGCTACGAGATGGTGTTCATTCACAGTTATGTACATCATTTCCAGTCTCTTGGGGCAACAGATGAATAGACTTCAAATCGAGAGGAAATATAGAACTTACATAACATCGATGTGTATTCTTTATACCAAATATCAACTGTTATTTCTTACTGCTGTGCTTGGCTGTGTTTTTACTGCTTTGTTTTTACCTTGAGGAGAAACCTCCATAATTTTCAGTTACGCTTGAGGCTTCAAACCTCAGGCTTTTGTTTGAAAACAGTTTCTGCATGCTTGCATGGCCTGTGATCCATTTAATTTAAAACAGCGTCCAGAATGACTGGAGGTAACTGTGGTTGATCAGTCTTCATGCGTCTAAATAGCTCCATGGAGGTCTTTCATCTATTCAGTCCCTCTTTATCTCTCTCCATCTCTATTTTTTTTGCCTTCTTAAAATTAAAGTTCATAAAGTAATACTCAGACAAAATCATTATTACAGAAAATATAAGAAATTGGAGAAAATCACCCATTATACCAAGATTTAGTCTGTTAATATTTTTAATTGTTTCTTCTTTCTACGTATTTAAACTTTTTTTTGCAGTTCTGATTACTTTCAAAAAATTAAAAAAGTTGTGATAAATATATACATGCCGCCGAAACCGGTTTGGCTCAGTGGATTGCGCGTTGGCCTGCGGACTGAAGGGTCCCAGGTTCGATTCCGGTCAGGGGCATGTGCCTGGGTTGCGGGCACATCCCCAGTGGGAGGTGTGCAGGAGGCGGCTGATTGATGTTTCTCTCCCATCGATGTTTCTAACTCTCTATCTCTCTCTCCCTTCCTCTCTGTAAAAAATCAATAAAAATATATTAAAAAATATATATATACATGCCATACATTTACTCTTTTCATCATTAAAAATTAACTTCTTTAAAAAGTTTCCCCGCCTGCTGGTGTGGCTCAGTGGATATAGTGTCATCCTGTGGACGGAGAGGCCCCTGGTTTGATTCCTGGTCAGATGCTTGGGTTGCTGGCTCTATCCCCAGTAGGGGGCGTGCAGGAGGCAGCCAATCAATGTGTCTCTCTCGCTGATGTTTCTATCTTTCCCTCTCCCTTTCTCTCTATCTAAAAATCAATAAGAACATATATTTTTTTAAAAAGTTTCCCCTCTTTTAACTATTTTAGTACACTCTTCATCTCTTTTTAAAGTGGGAATGGCTTCCCTCCAGGCAGCAGCTTTTTCCTCTCATACCTCTTCAACTTAATTTTCTTTCTGCATCTGATCAGAAACCTGGACGTGTTCATTGTTCAGTTGTTCATCAGCACCTGCCTGCATGCCCACAGTCCCCTCGTCTTGAGCATAATTGCCTTGGCAACTACATCTGTGTCATCGTAAATGAGAGTGAAGTTCAGAGCTGCTATGCGTTGTATAAATGACAATTGACTGAGCCGCTCAGGTCCCTCCCGCCCTTTACCCTTTCTGATTGAAGACTTTGAAAGCCCTTTAGACAAAACTGGGCGATTTTTGGCACAAAGTGTCATAATGGTTTTCACATCTTTCTGCTGACATTCGTAACTTTCAGTGAGGCTGAAGGAGCCGATATTGAACCCGGATACTGTAAGCTCAAACAGGCCCATTTGAAGTCCTCTGCCACAGAGCAGTGATGTGCATCTGTGGATTCTTTAAGGATTAATCCGTAATTTTGATTCTTTGCTGTTTCTTTAGGACTTTATGTATTTATTTTCTGGCTTCCCCTCCTGTTGCAGGGCCGCCACCCCCCAGTTCAGGGAACGAGCAGCCCTCGTCTGCCTCCATCTTCGAGCACGTGGACAGGCTCCCCCGCTCCTCCGAGGCCAGCCGGCGGGGCCCCAGTAAGATCCAGCTGATCGCCATGCAGCCCATCCCTGCACCTCCGGTCCACCACCTGGCCGACCGAGTGGCAGAAACCAACAAAATTAACAAAGAGGTATTTGTATTAAAAGGGACGTACATACAAAAGCTCACATGCTGATTTGGTTAGTGCTGAAAACTGAGTGAAAGTTATTGTCAGAAGTTTGCTAAAGGTATGAGATGCTGACAGGTATTCTTAATTTTAAAACTAACCTCAGTTTGCCCTGGCTGATGTTGCTCAGTAGTTAGAGCACCAGCCCGGGCACCCAAGGGTTATGAGTTTGATTCCTGGTCAAGGGCACCACCTGAATTGCAGGTTTGATCCCTGGTCTCTGGTTGGCCTTGCGCAGGAGGTAACCTATCGATGTCTCTCTCCCATCAGTGTTTCTATGTTTCTCTCTCTCTCTCTCTCACCCCTTCCTCCCTCCCTTCCCCCCTTCCTCCCTCCCTCCCTCCCTCCCTCCCTCCCTTCCTTCCTTCCTTCCTTCCCTTCCTTCCTTCCTTCCTTCCTTCCTTCCTTCCTTCCATCTCTCTAAAAATCAATGGAAAAATATCCTTGGGTGAGGATTCACCAAAAAAAATTATACTCAGTATTTTTAGATCAGATACTGTTCAGGGACACAGTTAGGTGCATTGGCAGACGTACAGAAAAGAGACCTGAGCCTGCTATCCGTAGAAGTCCTGCTTCACCCTGTGGCTGGTTGTGGGAACTTGAATTTCTAAAACATTCCCATCATTTGCAGAACAGAGTTGGCTCACTGTGCCTAAGCTGTGCAAACAATATGATTTGTGCTGAATATCTGCTTTCTTTCTGAGAGTTTGGAATTTTGGGACATGCCAGGCGGTGTGGGGCAGGGGGTGGGGGCGGTGTGGTGGGATTAACAAAGAGGTATTTGTATTAAAAGGGACGTACATACAAAAGCTCACATGCTGATTTGGTTAGTGCTGAAAACTGAGTGAAAGTTATTGTCAGAAGTTTGCTAAAGGTATGAGATGCTGACAGGTATTCTTAATTTTAAAACTAACCTCAGTTTGCCCTGGCTGATGTTGCTCAGTAGTTAGAGCACCAGCCCGGGCACCCAAGGGTTATGAGTTTGATTCCTGGTCAAGGGCACCACCTGAATTGCAGGTTTGATCCCTGGTCTCTGGTTGGCCTTGCGCAGGAGGTAACCTATCGATGTCTCTCTCCCATCAGTGTTTCTATGTTTCTCTCTCTCTCTCTCTCACCCCTTCCTCCCTCCCTTCCCCCCTTCCTCCCTCCCTCCCTCCCTCCCTCCCTCCCTTCCTTCCTTCCTTCCTTCCTTCCGTGTGGTGGGCGGGTGCCTGTGTGACCAGCCCCCATTAAAAACCCTGGGTATTGAGTCTCTGGCGAGCATCCTGGTGGACATTTCACATGTGTTGTCACAGCTCACGGCTGGAGGGATGAAGCACATCCTGTGTGACCCAGTGGGAGAGGACTCTTGGAAGATGATGACTGGTCCCTCCAGCAGGCCCATTGCTGATTTTGCTTTGTGTCCTTTTGCTGTAATAACTGGGGCTCACGGCTGAGTCCTGTGAATTCTCCTAGTGAGAATGGAACCTGGGGTGGTCTTGGAACCATAGTAAACTTTGTGATTCCTCATAGATCTCCTCCGGCTCCAAGGCTCTTGCTCAGTGGTTCTCAACCTGTGGGTCCTGACCGCTTTGGGGGTCGAACGACCCTTTCACAGGGGTCGCCTAAGACCATCAGAAAACACATATATAATTACATATTGTTTTTGTGATTAATCACTATGCTTTAATTATGTTCAATTTGTAACAATGAAAATACATCCTGCATATCAGATATTTACATTACGATTCATAACAGTAGCAAAATTACAGTTATGAAGTAGCAACGAAAATAATTTTATGGTTGGGGGTCACCACAACATGAGGAACTGTATTAAAGGGTCGCGGCATGAGGAAGGTTGAGAACCACTGCTCTAGGTCATTCCTAGCAAAACCCCATTCCAGTGAATCCTGGAAGAGTGAGTTGGATGTGCTTCAACCTAAGATGTTGGGTGGGAACCAGAAGGCCAGGCCAGCCCACTGTTACCTTGAACTTGAGAGATTTGACCTGGGCTGGACAATGAGTGGAGTGAATGCCATTTGGGAAGGCGCATAAGGCAGCTTCATTCCAGTCGGTTTCCTGCCGCTAAGGAACTCCTGCAGCTGTTCAGTTCTGAGAAATTGGCACAGTTGAGCCCTCATCTCCACTTTAAAGGTGATCCGTACAGTGGATCGTCTTGTAGAAGTCTTGCAAGAGTTCTTAGAGTTTCTCCCAGCCACACCGCTTTGGCTGCTTGCCAAGGACGTGGCCACAGAGTGTGCGCCGTGGGTTCAGGATGGGGAATGTTGTCCCTTCTCGCCAGTGGTTGGGAGCCCTAGCCCTGTGCAGACCAGTCCCAGCCCAGACCCGTCTCCATCAGCCACATGCTGCGTGTGCCTCCGTACCTGCCATGTGTGAACACCTGGAGTGGGTTCTCCACCTGGTGAAAGAGAGAAGAGACGTGCTTCCTGACCTGTGGCCTCACAACTTGATAGCATGCATCTCCAACCTTTCTTCTACTTCTTTTTCAGATGTAGTAGTTGATGCATACGTATGACTATCGATAATATAGATTGATCATAAACCATAATGAAATCAAAACCCAACCCGAGAACTAGAACATTATCAATACTGCTGTACTGACCTATACCCTTCATACATTGTAATTGAAATGTTTTCTTACTGGGAGGTTCTAGTGCAAATTCCTAGCATATCTTGATTCTTCTGGTTCTCCTGTGAGGACCTCATGTATTTCAAAGAACAGTTAGATCCTGATAGAGTAAGAGGGGCTTTTTTTTAAAAAAAAAAATTTTCACCCGAGGATATGCTTATTCATCTTAGAGAGAGAGGAATGGGGGAGGGAGAGAGAAAGAGGAAGGGAGGGAACAAGGAAGGGAGAGAAAGAAACAGACATCGATTGGTGCCTCTTGCACACACCCTGACCAGGGATCGAACCCGCAACCTCTTTGGTGTATGGGGATGATGCTCCAACCAACTGAGCCACCTGGCCGGGGCTAAGAGGGGCTTTCTTAATTCTCCTGCTGGTAAGTTTCCGAGAACCTCATGCAGCGGACTGTCCTTCTCAAACTGTCTCAAAGAAGTAGGTGGCTTTTGGTCGACTGCGGCGCAGCCAGGAAGGTTCCGTTTTGTCCTGGCCTGCGTCCTGCTCTCTCCTCCGATTCCCGGCGAGCCCGTCCTGATCTGCACAGTGAGGTCGCCTCATTGCCG